GCGTCCTTCTTAACCTTATGGTCAGGTTTAAGGAACGTTTCAGTTATAACGGCAATATGCACGTAATGAACTCTCAAAAAGTTAAATAGCTCGTCTTCATTATCTTTAAGAGATCGAGCATTCCAATTTAAAATGTTTAATGCTTTAAAATCCATTACTGAATTTTAAAGTCATGACAATATTATTAGCAAATTTTACTCCAGTTTGAATAGCATCAAACATGGAGTTAGATTTAAGCATATCAGAAATCATGTCAATTAATGAATTCTGTAAAAATTCCATTTTAGGAGCAGTAATGCTTCCTAAGTCAAAATTGTCAAAATTTCCGTTAGAACGTTGGTTAGTATTTTGATTTCCACCCGCTGCAATAGCAGCATAGGTAGCTCCATTAACTCGCTGAACATTGTTAGCAGCGAGGGGAGTAGGTACAGATGAAAAATTTGAAGCAGGGGTGATATTTGTACCTACGGGTACGAATGTAGAATTTGTTCCTCGCTGACCGTTGTTAACAGCAGAGGAATTTGTACCTGGTCGGAAACGTGGAGCGTTTCCTACCTGTCGGTTAGAACGAGATTGTAGGATCGCTTTGCGAGTCTTACATTCCCAAAAATTGGATTTGGGGTTTTCACCACAATTTGAACATTTAAATTTCTTAGGATCTTCCTTCACAGGACAGTCGTCCTTTGCGTGAGAGGAATCACCACAATTCATGCATTTAGCTGGCATGTAGCAATTTTTAGTTCCGTGACCCCATCCCTGGCACTTACGGCACTGAGTGAGGTTTTGGAAATTTCCTCCAGTCTTCCTGAAGTGTTCCCACTTCACTCGGACATGGAGCATAAGGCTAGCTTTTTCTAAGGCCTTAAGGTTGTTTAGTTCACTAGACTTGAAGTGAACTAAATAAAAATCATTAGAAATCCCGTTGCGCGAATCGCCAAGACGGGATTTCATTTTCATTTTGATTACTTGGAGTGGCACAACTCCAAGTAATTTTGCCAGATCATCTTTGATCTGATCCAGGGATTCACCACTGGGCAGTCCTTTCATGACAACCTTGAACACACGTTCAGTTTTGGTGTCGTAAGTAAAAAATTTGTGCTTCTTCTCAGTAAGATACTTGAGAAGACATTTAAATCCGTCCAAGGTTTCAGCCAACACACGGCATTCACCCCGACGTCCAATTTGTAGTGAAAACTTAACTTTCATGAAATTCAAAAGTTCCATGCGAAGAGCATTGAAATCGGTAGTGGTTATCACAATAGGGGGAATCTTTTCTTTCTTGGCATTAAGCCGGGAAAGTTTACTAGAATTTTTCTTGGATGATGGATCATTCTCATCATCCGTGAGCAAATCAAATTGATTACTCAAATTAATTTCTTCAGAAGGGGGGTCAAGAGTTTGCCCCTTTCTTTTGCGTTTAGGCGCCATGGCGGCAGTAAATTTTTATCCAAATCGACTTCCAAGCAGATTACTATAAGAATCTGAAGGATCGAAGAGGAATTTTCCAAATCGATATCCAAGAAGGATTACTTTGGGTAGGGTCCAAACAAAGATCGAAGAGGAATAAGAGGAGTTGAACAAGGTAGAAAATTTTTACAGGTTGAGCACTGAAAAGTGCTGTTTAAATTTGTTGTAGCTTTAGGTAGTAGTAACACTTCCTTAAGCAAAAAGCAAATAGATCCGCACGGCAAGAGAGCACGATGCGGACTGACCTAATGCAGCTAATTTTTGTCTGTATAAGCTGATCTGCTGCTAAAATTGTTTGTTGGGGTGCTGCAAGCTTCGATTCGATTTGGTGCGAAATGCGTCTATAGTGCAATTGATGGTATATGTTATCCCCTTAAAAATTTAAAAAATAAAAAAATTAAATAAAAAAATACATTTTTTGAGCAAAATTATTTTTAAGCCTTAATTTTTATATGGTGCATTTTTTAAGAGTGTATGTATTTTTTAAAATAGTCCCAGCCATTACCTACGTCTTTGTCGAAGGCTCCAAACCGATCGTACAAACCATTCGAGCTTCTGTCATGTCGTCGCCAGAAGGTTTTTAAATAATTTTGTAATTATGTTAGGTTATTTTTCGAACAAAGTTTCTTTCAAAAAAGGCATTGCGTCTAGAAAATCATCTCGTGAAGGGTTTTTACAAAAATTTACATTCTAGGAAAACTGGCTGTATGGTGTCTGTATGCTGCAATCCATTGCAAGAACTGCCATTAAGTTTACTGTATGAAACATAAGGGTGTCCACGATGAAATTGCCACACTATGAAATTGCTCTAATTTTTTAACCGTTGGGTAGAATTTAATGAAAATTTGGGTGGATTTAGTTCATAGTGCATTATTTACATCCTGCAAGTTTTAAAGTCATGTGATCAAAACTCGCGGAAATGGAGTCGAAAGAACAGCTCGTGCGTGATAAAATCTTGCGCATTCATCACGAGAACAAGGATCTCTCGCATCGTTCCATCGCTAAAACGTTGGGAATCGCGAATTCCACGGTGTCGCGAGTGATTAAGCGGTTCGAGGAACGGTTGACCACCGATCGGAAGCCCAGAAGTGAAGGAAAAAGTATTCCGTACAACACCAAAAATCACAACCGCGTAGTTGGGGCCTTCAACCAAAATCCGAACGCCTCCGTTAGGGATGTGGCTAAGAAGCTGCACCTAAGCCGAAGTTTTGTCCAGAAGGCCAACACTAAGGCTGGGCTTCGAACGTTCAAGGTACAAAAGGCCCCTAATCGTGACGAGAAGCAGAACAAGTCCGCCAAAACCCGTGCCAGGAAGTTGTACCTCAACATGCTGACGAAAGTTGAATGCTGCATCATGGACGACGAAACATATGTGAAGGCTGACTTCAAACAGATCCCCGGCAACCTGTTTTTCACGGCCAAGGATAAGTTCAGCGTTCCGGAGCATGTCCGCACTTAGAAGATGTCCAAATTTGCGAAGAAATTCCTGGTTTGGCAAGCCATCTGCACGTGCGGGAAGCGGAGTGCACCTTTCGTGACCCAGGACACGATGAACGGACAGGTGTACATAAAAGAGTGCCTCCAGAAGCGGCTGCTTCCTCTCCTGAAGGCCCACAACGTCCCAACAATCTTCTGGCCGGATTTGGCCTCATGCCACTACTCCAAGGACGTGCTGAAGTGGTATGCGGACAATAAGGTCAATTTCGTGCCGAAAATGTTCAACCCTCCCAACACTCCGGAGCTCCGCCCCATCGAGAAGTACTGGGCGATTATGAAGCAGCACCTTCTTAAACGACCTAAGGTAGTGAAGACAGTCGAGGAACTGAAGAAAGTATGGGTTTACATGCAAAAAACGGTTGATTCACAGGTTGTGCAGAATCTTATGGCCGGGGTTAAGGCCAAGGTGCGGGCATTTGCGTATGGACTGTAAATAAAATACGAGTAAAATGGTAAAATGAAGTTTAATAGTTATTTCTCAATCCCTGAAAATTTGATGGCAATCGGATGAAAACTCGAATTTTGCGAATCAATTTTGTGTGTGGCAATTTCATCGTGGACACCAGAAGATGTAATAGATCCAACCTAACATTGGAAGTAAGAGAAATTAATTTTGCGTGCAGATTCGTACGCTCGATAATTATGACATTTAGTTACGCTGGAGTTCAGTTCGAACTATCCAAGAGTCAGCACGTAGCGTCGGGCATAATGAAGCTGTTGGCAAGTTTTGAGAATCTATTTAGCGATGATATAAAGCAGCATTGTATACCAGCATATATCTAACCCAATCAAGCATTGTTTGTATGGTGGAGATTTGTTTGAGTTTATTATCAAATAATTCATTTTCATCTACGAATAAATAGATGAAAGTTCTCCCCGGGAAAACTCTCAGTAGCCAGCTTAACCCGGAGTTAACTTTCGCTGGTAGAAACATCAACGTTTGCAACCAACCGTGACTGGCATCATTTTGCATTTGCCAGCACCTACCTATAGTTTGTATGCCACTGCTTATTTGCAGCAGATGCACGGTTGAAAAATTGAAAACTTGTGCTGCAATGAGGGGAACGGAGAAGACTTAATCTGCAGAGTTGAATCTCTTGAAAAGCTCGGTTTAATTTAATTATTCGGCTCTAAAAAGATGATCTCGGGCTCAACTTTGAAACCGACGTACAGTTGTTGAAGTTTTGAATTGTTCGAATTGGATTTTAATGAGATGCAAAACGTTTATCCATCACGCTGAAAACAGTACATTGATTCATTTTCGTTATGGGTGGTAAATTCTCAAAATGCAGACAATGGTTTAGGGTTCAGAACTTATTAAACAAGACCCACAAATAACTCGCTTTTTAGCGTATTAGATATTTACACACTGACACACGATACCCTTTGGGAGAATTCAGTCATTGGTACGCGAATGTGTATGTTAAAAAGCTATGATTTATTACTAAAAGTTCAGTTTTGCTGTAGGACTTGTTTCCAACAGGAGATGAAACGATATACAAGCGAAAGGGTTCATTTTTCAACGTTTCTACAGTTGAGATGATGAGGGACCGGTTTTTCTCACGAGGATAGTATCGTATGCGAACTGGTGAAAAACAATCCGGAGAATGAGTGTAACGGGAAAATTTACTTTTTGGTTTCCAACTTTTCCACACCATAAAATTGTTGAATCTGAGTCCGGAACTCAGAGCAATACTTCAAAGACTTGTTATTACCAACCACTAGAAGCAGAAGATGCATCGCGTGCACCACTCACTTCGTATTTTCTGCCCATCACACCACCAAGCATCCACACCGTCACATTGGTCACGCTGCATAATTTTCAATGTCACCAGCAGCGTGTGGTGCATCTTCACACTCGGCAGCGTCAAGCCATGGTACCTCACATAATTACTCTCACCCAGGAAAGCAAAAGCTCTCCGTACCAGATGCGACTCTACCTTCAAGGCCCATTTCCCAAATTAGTCTTACAGTGCAAGCTAACGGTATCGGAAGAACCGCTCCAGAATCCAAGCTTTCCTCCAGCTTTGGGCGCGATGGTAGTCAACTCAGTCCACAGTTCGAAACCGACACCGTCGGGTGTAGTTTTCGAATCTCCCGCGAATCCGAGCTCTTCCATTGATCGCCAGTTCTCGTTCTACCGTCCCCGTCCGTTCGTGTTCACCATGTACTCTCCGAGCTACAATCCATATTATGGACCGTCCCATCCAGGGGGGCCCGTGTCAGCACCGGGACCGTATCCGGTGTACTCGGCAGCCGATAGCTCCCAAGGCCACGGTGCCAAGTATGGACCACCTCCCAGCGGATCCGGCTACGGTGGGGGAAGTGGCCATGGTGGTAGTTCTTATGGACCACCTTCCGGAGGGTACGAATATCATCCTGCACCACATCCACCACATCCACCACATCCACCGCACCCACCGCATCCAATTCCGATTCATATCTCCAAACCTAAATCAAAGAAGGGTAAGGGAGCAGCACTGTCCGCGCTGACCCTGTTGGCATTTCTCTACTTTTTGAATATGCTGCAAAGTTGCCTCAAGGAACACATGGACACGATGAACCCAACTGTGAGTGTTCGGATTATTTGATAAACAGGAATGTAATTAATAGATGATTTATTTTTCATTGCAGATAATGGTGATGACTGCCGGTGCAACTCGCCGAAAGGATGTCGATGAGGTGTTGGTGAACGAAAAGGACGAAATGCTAGGAGAGTACGACGCCAACGGGGATGGCTACGAGGCAATTGACGGTAAGTATCATCTGCTGACGACAAGTGCCAATCGGACGCAAAGTTTCGGCAACGGTGGAAAGCAGATCTATAGGATTCGGAAAGCGGGTACATCTGACCAGCGGCATCGCGATGTGGATGGTGAAGTGATCTACTATGATTACTATTGACAGTTGAATGTGTCTATCGCTTAATGCCTTTCATTTATTTTGCAATTTGATATAAATTATGAAGAACATTTAAACATAAATGGTGCGTAGCTAATAAAAATCATTTTGAAAAGCAAATTGCATTATTGTAGCAATGAAAAAAGACATCCATGAGGGGTAGTTAATTAGTTGAAGCTCTCTATACCAGAGATGCCAGATGTCTGTGAATTTACAGACTTTTATTTTTTCACAGAATGTTTTTTCGTTACAGACATTTACAGACTTTTGAAATCAAGGGAAAATTTTAAAATTTATTTGGTTACACTGTTTTACATCTTTAATCAAATTACACCACACGAACGAGCTGTCACTGTTATAGACGGTCATATAGCGAATTCGTTTATCATTCAGTTCCAACCTGGATCGTGCATCAAGATTGGGTCTGATTTTGTTCTGAAAAACTACTTACTGAATCGTTTGTTTTTAAAACCTACCTCAGGTTGAGGTTCGTACTGACAAAAAGTTCGGTTTCGCACGAATTCGCTAATAGCACTGTGCAACAAGGCTTTCTAGGACTGGAAAAATTCACATTATTTGACTTTCTCGTGATCCCCTGAGTAAAAGTCTCGAACAAACTTATACCCTAACATGTCCTAATTTTTTGGTACCGCCCTCTTTATGAATTTCGGTATGTATGCCCGATGCCGTTTGTATACTGCCTAACTAAAAAACGAAAAGCTGTTTTTAGTAATTTACTTGAGGAACATTTTTCAAAGATATCTCATTGTATTACCCCTCGTTTGGATGATTTTTCAAATTGGGTTCCCCCCTAAAAATCTAGAATTCATGGAAATTCACTGTAAAAACCATAGTTTGTGCTGGTATGTTGACATCGTTCATCATTAGATCATTTAGATTGGCATGTAGAGTTATTTCCTTAATTGTGTGTGTGAGTTTTTTTTTCCTTGATTTGTTTTCCGTCGATCTTGTTTTCCGTGCTGAGCACCAATGCTACCGACGCCAGGAAGGCAGCTCCCATACCTGGACCCTACCTATCGACCCATCAAGCCTGCTGGGGTGACAGATAATCATGCTTACCACTACACCACGCTGTGTGTGTGAGTTGGTGAATCTGATTTTTGATATTTTGGTTTATCTTAAACTGCTGATTATTCTGATCTATCAGGGTTCATGTTCTTTCTTTCACGAGTAATAATGGGTCGTCTTACAGTTTTCGTAATGATAATTTTTGTGCGTGATTTGAAGTGCCCATCAAAACAAGTAGTATGCTTATCTCATTCACAGATCGACTGGTGTTCCGCCAGCGATGCCAGAAGCAGACGATGCCTCGTAGGTTCTTCCAGGGGTTAGGTTACGGAATCCTTGATTCTTGCCGCTGCTCCCTCCTGATCTTGGTGCTCTGGTACACGCGACACTTTCAGCGAAACAACACAAGTTTGCACCAATGACGGTTTAACTCGCGGCACACTTAGTCGAATTTCAGTAGCGCGGCGAAGATAGAATTCGATCACTCTTCCCTGGGAATTCGACTGCCTTTGACAAAAGATTGTTTTCGATGACTGTACTGCTCTCTCTCTCCCTATTAAATTAAGGTTGTTTTATCATATAGATATTTACTTGCTACCTTATTTAAGTTTAGCTGGTCTTAGGGTCTGGAACACGAAGATTACATTAGATTTCCGTAGGAGGTGTTGTCCACGCATTTCCCAATCAGTTTTTTTTTTATCATAGTCACTTTAACGCTCTTGGGTCATTCGTGACTTGTCCGGTGGTGAGATTTGAACTCGTGACTTTGGCGTAAGAGGTATGGATGCTAACCACTACGCCGGGGTCGCCCCCCAATCAGTTTTCAGTGTACGACCATAATTGACCAAAGTTCATAAAGATGGCGGTACTAAAAAAATAGGACGTGTAAGGATATCAATATTTTGTATAACTCAACCGACAACAAGAAAGTCAAATATGGTAAATTTTCCACCAGCACATGGTATGGATTTTCTAGTGTAGTAATATAAATTCTAGAATTGTAGAGAAGTATCCAATTTA